CCCACTTACCCAACTCCTATTGTTTCAGTAGAAGAAATCACTGGGGCGTGATAATCCCCTTTAATCACTTATTTTGTTCCCTGTGAAATAGTATCCGGGACCAAATGTGATAAATATAAACTACTTCTGACTCAATCATTACGTATATGTATTAGTTATATATATACAAGTTATCCAGTTATACAACTAAACACAACATCAACATCATATGAAATCATATCACATATATGCACTGCAATGCACTTGGTATCGAGTTAAATGTGATACTGAGTCAATGTTTGGCACCATTTCTGAGCTGAAGAATACATGTCTCTACCCAGCCTTGTTCCTTGTTAAAAAAGTCCTTATAAATGTTGGGGTGGCTTTTGGCAAACACATCACTCATTTTACGATGCCATCCCTCTACATGATTTGTACATCCTTGTAAGATATCATAAGGCCATCTTTAGAGTTGAATGTTGATCGACAATCGTTCTCCCAACACTTCAAATGGATGTAAGGATTTCGTCTGGTCTTGATACTGAACTTACAGCCCCTGTAGGCCAAGTACTGACCGCTGCATCCACTTGGTATGAAACGATTGTTTACTTGAACGTTTGCCATAGTGCAATGGAGAAACAAGGACATTTCCATAATACCTGTCGTTGGTCACTTGTTATAGTTCACTCTATTAGAATTCAATTTGTAGGAAATGATATGAATGTAGGTCACTTAGTTTATCTAGTTTAACGATGGTCATGAGATTGCTCTGATTGGCCCTGATTGGAGTGCTGGGTGAAGTTATGTCACAGCCAAAGCTGGGGTAACAAATTCACCCTGCAAAATCACTGACCCGTAACTTTTATTCTTTTTTTAATCCCCCAGTTAATTGGGTAAGTGGGAATGAGCTGCTGACACAACCGTACTTGTTGTTGGAAGCAATGTGCTTTGAAAAAACAACAAAGGTACAAACACGTAGCAGTGTGTGGTGGTAAAGATCGAAATGTCGGCTATCCCAGAGATTAACATTCCGTCAGTTTCAATGTTAGAAATAACGAGAATAAAGCAAGTTTGCCCTTCCTTAATCTACAGAGTCCTTCAAAAACAAAAAAGTATTCGGACACTTGACGTAACTTCCGTAGACTTACATGTTACTTTAGTGTAGCATAAACATTTTTCATGAATTTAAATTTCGCAAGATCCAAGTCAATTGTTGCACTTTTGTGAGGAATCATCTTACCTACAATCACATAATTTCTGTGTAATTTTCCGAATTATCGAATGGCAACTGGCACCCGTGAAGAGCCACCTCCTCGTTGTGGGTGCTGGGTAACGCTAAGCGCTCTTCGACCCCCCGTTGTGGACCCGGGGGTATATTTGGTCCGCCAACCCGTTTGCCATGAGTTGCACCCCTGTGTCGGTGGAGGACGGGAGTCTGGTGGTTGAGGGCAATAGGATCCTGGAACTGTGTTCCCTTTGCCCAACACACCACTTCGGCCCTTACTTCACCTAGACGGGTGGTAGAACTGGCCCGGTTCTACCAATCGGCTGGTCTTGCCATGCCCTGTGCATGGACAACATTCCTATGCAATTACTGTACGTTTTTGTACATTTTTGACACTAAATGTTTATATTTCAAATTATATTTTATATGTTTGCCAAGAGTCCTATGCCAGAAGACAGTGGCTCATGGGCCAATCTGGTGATAATGCCTCCAAATGATGTATGTCTCTGGTTTCTTGTCATGGGCCGAAATAACCGGATATTAAATTGGTAGATAAATGCAGCTGTTTGAGTATAACACCCCTGTATCCCTGGTGTCGGCATCTTGGATACCCGGTGCTATCTGACACTGTCCTTGTTGACACTCCGTGGTGGGTGGGGAGCAGGGGTGACGAATCACTTTCCTTTCACCATGTCTCAAACACAAGCTGGTTCATCTAGAAAAGAAAAAAAGAGGCGTCTAAATGAAATAGATCACTCTATTGAAAATTCTGCAAACGACGACTCATGGGCTCGTTTCCTGGTTATTGAAGCTACGGATCTTCTTCCGATTAAGCTAAACCCATTTGCTATTTCGAAAGCGATCTCTGGGATTTGTGGCGAGGTTAGAAATGTTACTCGTCTCTGTACTGGTTCACTTCTGGTGGAATGTGCACGGAAACAGCAATCTCTCAATTTGTTATCAATTAAAACATTTGCCAATGTTGAGGTAGCTGTGTCTGTGCACAGAACTCTTAATACTTGTCGTGGTATCATACGTGACAGGGCCCGCTGTCTGTATGATATGAGTGAAATGGACATTGCTGAGGAGCTTGTAGACCAAGAAACGTTTCACAATCAAGAAAGAGGGCATTGTAACAAAGACAAACACGTATCTCTTGACTTTTGCTAGATCTTCACTCCCGCAGTCGATCAAGGCAGGATATTTTAACATCGGGGTGGATGGGTATGTCCCCAATCCACTCTGGTGTTATAAGTGTTAACGTTTCGGTCACGGATCACACTCATGACGAAACTCTGCAGTGTGTCATCGGTTTGGAGACCGCCATGAGGGTACCGACTGTGACAGAAACTACAAATGTGCAAACTGTGACGGCCCGCATTCTTCTTCGTCAAGTCCTGCCCTGTATATCAGAGGGAAGCAAAAATCATGAAAATAAAGTGTGAATAGAACATTTCTTATCTTGATGCGAAAAAAATCTTCATTAATCAGTCCTCAACTCCTCTGAATGTAACGTATTCCGCTGCAGTCACCCGCACTGCAACAATGTCCTCTATTGCTTGTCAGACTGACTTGACTTGGGTCATGTCAGAAAAACCTGTTTCAGCTGTTCGACGAAAGTCCTCAGTTACTGATCCTATGTCCCCAGCCACACAGTCTACTTCTGCTTCTCAGACTGTGAGTCAGCCTGAGATACAATCAAAATCAGTAATCAAACAGCCTCACTCAGCCAGTTCAGCAAAAGGAAAAGGAAACAAACAACAGAGAAAAGAGACACCTTCTGTCCCTTTACCTTCAGAACTCCCTCTGGAGAACCCCATTGGACCTCTCGACATGGAGGTCACACTGTCCTCACAGGACAAGCGGAGGAATAGCTCCTCCTCCCATTCACGAGAGAGATCTCCAATTGAACCACCATCATGAGTCAATTGTCTTATATAATTCAATGGAATTGCAGAGGACTGAAGAATAACTTCAATGAAATACAGTTACTAATTCAAGATCTTCAACCGTCAGCATTCTGTCTACAAGAAACGTATTTCAAACATACTGATACATTTGATTTAAGGCAGTACAAGTGTCATCACTCATTTTCTCCTCCAGGATAAAGCAACTGGAGGTGCTACTATACTAGTCAGAAATAATGTTATTCATAGTGACGTTCACCTAAAAACTAATCTTCAAGCTGTAGCTATTCGCCTTACTTTGCAAATTGCATTTACCCTATGCTCACTGTACATTCCGGCTTCATCTGCTCTTCGACAATCTGATCTTCAGAATCTATATGATCAACTACCTAAGCCCTGTATAATCATGGGCGATCTGAACGGGCACAACCCTCTGTGGGGCAGTACAAGTACAAGCAATAAAGGTCAGGTAATTGAAGATTTTATTTCTGATAATAATTTATGTATTTTTAATGATGACTCAGCCACTTATTTACAGCCAGCTACGGGAACATATTCTTCCCTGGATCTATCAATTGCTGACTCCATCTTGTATAATGAATTCGAATGGATGGTACATGATGATTTATGTGGGAGTAATCACTTCCCTGCCATTCTCAAGACAATCAACCCTGGTGATGATCCACCTTTATCGAGAAGGAACTTCGCCAGGGCTGATTGGTCATTATATGAGACATTATGTGCTGATCACTTAAAACATGATGTATTTGTGAACAGCGAAGATCCGATACAGTTGTTTTCCGATTTACTCAATGACATTGCTGATCAAACTATACCTAAGTCCTCTGCAGCTCCACATATTCGTAAGCCATGGTTTGATAATGAATGTAAACAGGCCAGAAAGAGCAGGAAGAAAGCTGAAAAATACCTTCGGCGACATCCTACAGTCCATAATTTGAATAAAGTAAAAAAAATTAAATGCCAAGGCTCGACGTACATTTAAACAGAATAAGCGTCAGTCTTGGAGGAAATATGTTTCTAAAATAAATTCACGCACACCGATTTCAAAGGTGTGGAACATGATCGAAAGAATTAAGGGGAAAGGTTCCAAATCTACTGTTCACCATCTGAAGGATGGTGACAATAAATTAACTGGTAAGTCTGACATTGCCAATAAGCTTGGTGAAACACTCGCCAAAAACTCTTCTTCGTCAAATTACGTCACTGAATTTCAACAATATCAGAAACAACAGGAGAAGAAGAGAATAAATTTTAACTTGGACAATGGCGAAGACTATAATGAATTATTTTCATTACATGAGCTCCACACAGCCCTTGAGCAAGCTCATGACACAGCAACAGGAGCTGATAATATACATTATCAGCTCTTGAAGCATTTACAGGAATCATGTTTGGAAACTCTTCTAAATATTTAATGCCATTGTAGTCCCTTTACCAAAACCTGGCCGGGATCATACTGATCCGTCTAATTACAGACCAATCTCTTTAACGAGTTGCGTCTGTAAAACCATGGAACGAATAGTAAATAATCGATTAACATGGTATCTTGAAACCAATAATCTCATAACAAATATTCAATGTGGTTTCAGGACAAATCGTAGTACCATTGATCATTTGGTACGTTTAGAATCCTTTGTCAAAAATGCAATAATAAATAAACAACTTTCAGTATCGATATTCTTTGATCTCGAGAAAGCATACGATACCTCCTGGAAGCATGGCATTTTAAAGGATTTACATGATTTTGGTTTAAGGGGTCGTTTACCTCTTTATATATCACAGTTTTTATCAGACAGGCAATTTCAAGTCCGAGTGGGTTCAACCGTGTCTGACCATTATAATCAGGATCAGGGTGTCCCCAAAGGAAGTATTTTGTGTGTCACTTTATTAAGCATTAAGAGCAACAGCTTATCCAAGGTTTTAAACGATTCAATTGATGAATCACTTTTTGTGGATGATTTTAACATTTCTTGTCGCGGTAAGAATATGCATACTATAGAACGGCAACTACAGTTGTGTTTAAATAAAATAAATAAATGGTGTCTTGAAAACGGCTTTAAATTTTCGAAATCAAAAACTAATTGAATACATTTCTACCGTAAATATAAACCACATAAAGACCCAGAACTGTTTTTAAATGGCACTCTTAGGTCTCATTTTCGACTCCCATTTAACTTTTCCTCCGCATATCAAATCTCTAAAAACTAAATGCCTGAAGGCACTCGATTTATTGAAAGTCGTGTCAAATTCAAGGTGGGAAGGGGATCAAGCTACGCTCCTACACCTTTACAGATCACTTGTCCGCTTGAAGCTTGATTATGGCTCCATCGTATATGGTGGAGCCTGTAAAAGGAACTTAAAACTCTAAGATTCAGTCCACCACCAAGGTCTGAGACTTTGTCTTGGAACATCTCCTGTTGACAGTCTCTACGTCGAGGCAGATGAACCATCGCTTACCCAACGCCGTATAAAATTATCATTGCAATATATTACCAAACTATATTCTAACGAGTCTAATCCTGCATTTCACTGTATCTTTAATCCTCTTTATGAGGATTTGTACAACAAGAAATCTTCTTTTGTTCGGCCTCTTGGGCTCAGGATTAAGCCATTCATTACTGCTGCCGGCATTGAGCTGGAAAATATATCTCTATCCCGTCTTCTCTCTTCTGCTCCTTGGCAATTGGTTTGGCCACAAGTCGACCTAACACTCACTAAATTTAAAAAATCAGAAACTGATGACTTACTGTATACACAAGAATATAATCAATTAAAAAGTAAATATGATACATCTAAATCCTTATTTACAGATGAGTCCAAGGATGGTTGCGCAGTTGCTTGTGCCACTGTCATTGGGTCCAAAACAATATCTTCCAGCTTACCCAATGACAGTTCAATTTTCACAGCAGAAACAAACGCAATACTAACAGCTCTTAAATATATAAATAGAGACCCTAAATATAAACAATATATACTATTTTCTGACTTTCTTTCTTGCCTTCAGGCGATCAAAAATATTTCTTGTAAACATCCACTTTTAATAGAAATTATAGAATTATATAATGATCTTGCAGCTGGCCAATACGACATAGTCGTTGGTTACCCAACCACGTTGGCATTTCTGGGAATTCAATGGCCGATTTTGCTGCTAAGGCAGCACTCAACAAATCTGTGACACAACTTCTTATTCCTTACTCCGATTACAAAGCTTGCATTAGAACTTACATCCGTGATCTGATGCAGAAGAAGTAGGACACTCAAGTAGGTATCAATAAATTACATGCAATAAATCCTATATCGGTTACACTTACTTGGGTTGTCAGTCCAGATTTGAAGAGGTCATCATACGACGATGTCGTATTGGCCACACAAGATATACACATGAATACCTATTAAAAGGTGAGGATCCTCCATTTTGTATCCCTTGTGATGAAAGAATCACGGTCAAGCATGTCCTGCTTGACTGTGTTGAATATTCCATCACAAGGGATAAATATTTTAAATTACGAACTATGAAGGATCTTTTTAATAGTATCAGTTCTCATTTAATTATTGCATTTTTAAAAGAATTATATTTGTTAAATGATTTGTAAATACATAAATATTTTAAGATTGGAAGTTTGAATTAGTAACTAAGATTGTTAATGGCTGTATCCTCGAGGGGGGTTAAAGTACTGTAAAATTATTGTCCTCCTGAGAGGGTATGTAAGTCCCCAAACAGTCGAAGTAAATTAAAACGTTCCACTTTTTTAATCGTAGAATACCGGTTCTTTTAATGTATGGCTAGATTTGCTAAATTGCTAACGGCTGAAGGGATGGTGTAAATCCAGCTAGGGTCCATGCAAGAAGCAAATGTACTGTAAGTCCCCATGGTCCCTAGTATGCCGATCTACCTTCAGTTGTTGGCAGTCTATAGCCGGTTTTTATATTGTATTGTCATTTAAAAGTAACATATTTTAGATTTAATTACTAGTCTTAAATTTATCAATGTGATAATGTAGTTGTTTTACTGTCCTTCGTCGACATGTGTTTAATAATAACATTGTGTTTATTGTTAATTCATAACTTTTTAAGTCACAATATGGCTGAAATATTGCCGATGTGACTATAAATTTTAACTCACTCACTCACTCGAATGGGAACAAGTTAATGTACAGTGCCGTGAACTCCTTTAACATGGCGGCCTATGGGATTGTGCATTGTGGAACCATACGAAAGTTGGTAAATGTGATGTCGTTAGTTAAATAGTGGTCGGGAATTTAACAGAAATTATGTGCGCAGAGCAGAGATGATTTCAAATTAGCCTGTCAAATTTTACAAAGATCCATCCTAAACTCACTTCATGAAAATTATTTATGCTGCACTGAAATAACATGTTACAAGTCTATGGAAATAAAAAGTCAGACAATGTTACAGTTATTGCTGCGAAGAAAGCCAGGCGCCGTGCTGAGAGAGCCTGGAGACGCTTCCATCTTGAAATCCACAGGCAAATTTACTGTGTTGCGAGAAATAAAGTGACGTCTTTGATAAGGCAGGCCAAACAGATGTCACTGAACTCTCAAATCCAGGATTCAATGTCTGACACATGTCCCGCCTTCTTGGTAAGGAGTTCACTTCACCACTGTCGAAAACAGACTCTCCCGAGGTGTTGCCTAACCGGTTCCGGCAATTCTTTACTGAGAAGATTGCCAAGATACATGCTGGCATGATGTCTGCAGATTCTTCTGGCGAATTCTTGAGGCCAGCACGGATACGCCCTCTACTGAACTAACTGATGATTGCTCGGAGAAACTGGTTACTTTCAATGAATTCACCTGTGATGAAGTGTTGAAAATTATCCGGAAGTCCAATCCTACTTCCTGTGACTTGGACCCTGTGCCAACATCCATCATCCTTGATAACATTGTTCTTTTAATTCCGACTCTTACAAAAAACATCAACATTAGTCTTGAATATGGAATAGTGCCGTCTTCCTTTAAGTCAGCTCTAGTGAAGCCACTCCTGAAAAGGCCAAACTTAGACTTTGATCTCCTTGGCAACTACCGGCCAGTATCTAATCTGAGTTACCTTTCCAAGTTAGTTGAGCATGCTGTTTGCACACGACTTTCTGAACATCTTGATAAATATGACCTTCATGATCATCTACAGTCCGTCTACAGTAGCCATCATAGCACCGAGACTGCATTGCTGAAAGTGATCAGTGACATTCAGCTTGGAATCGATAACAAGAATCTCGGAGTCTTGGCACTTCTTGACCTAAGCAGTGCATTTGACACCATCGATCACTGCAAACTCCTGGAACGTCTGAGTTTGGAATTTCTGATCAATGGAACAGCTTTCGCGTGGTTTAAATCATACCTGTCCGATAGAAGTCAGTGTGTAATCATTGACAAGTTGTCATCTGACCCATCATATCTTACGTGTGGGGTTCCACAAGGATCCGTCTTAGGACCGGTTCTTTTCACCGTGTATATATAGGAGCTTGGAAGTGTCGTGGAAGGACATGAAGCGGACAGACATCACTATGCTGATGACTCTCAAGTCTACAGATCCATGGAGTCATGGCCACTTCGGCGCACAGGGCTTTGAGTGAATTGAGCGCTTGTTGTGAAGATATCAAGGCGTGGATGCATTAAAACAAACTAAAACTGAATAGTGACAAGACGGAATGCATTGTCCTAGGGCCACAGAAAAAGAGATCACAGTGTGGTCTTACATGTTTAAGGTTTGATAATACAAACATCCAAATCGCTGACAAGGTCAAAGACCTTGGTGTGATTATCGACTCAGATGTGTCACTGGATGATCACGTTTCCCATCTAGTCCAGAGCTGCCTTGATCATTTGCGTACTATTGGACATATCCGACCATGTCTCACCACTGAATCTGCCACCACTCTTGTCCTGTCTCTAGTTATGACCAGGATTGATTACTGTACCTCTCTTCTCGCTGGTGCCACTAAGACACAGATAAGGAAACTTCAGCGTGTGAAAAACGCTGCTGCACGTATAGTGACCCAGTCACGTAAATCTGATGACGCTCTGAAACTCCTACATTCTTTACACTGGCTGCCCCTTCACTATAGGATTCAATTCAAACTTCTGTACCCCACTTTCCACTGTCTGTCTGGATCTGCCCCTTCGTATCTGGCCCAGTCCCTCACACAGCACCGCCCATGTCGCTCTCTCCGTTCACAGGATAAACGTTTCCTCGTTATCCCCACTGTGAGGACTTCTACGTATGGTGAAAGGTCCTTTTCGTATGCAGCCTCTACAGCCTGGAATCAACTACCTCAATATCTACGTGACTGTACAGAACTTTCTAATTATAAATCTTTACTAAAGACTCACTTTTTCAGATTTGCTTATGAGTGTAAACGATAATTCATTGCATTGTTTCCATGTGTCTCTCTAATCTTTTATTCTCTCCTATAGTCTGTTTGTATGTACATCTATGTCTAGCGCTTTGAGCATGTTGTACATGGAAAAAAGCGCATTACAAGCATGCTATAATTATTATTATTATTGTAAGTCTATCAGGTGAAACGCTGCGTTGCTATGTTTACCCAGACCTTTACCGGTGATAGGCTAAACAAACGTCTGGGTGTAAACATTGTGTGAAGCAAGCACTTGGTTCCTGTAACTTTCATACTGCTTTACAACAGTCGTACAAAATACATTTACACTATTTCATCAATTTCCTAAATCAGTTTAAAAGCAGAAACTTTGAACTTACCCACCAATAACGTACGTCCTAACACGAGCGACACATCTCAATAGAAATATTTCTACCCGACCCATGTTTGGCCTTCGGTTTTGTCAGATGAAAGCAACATATTACAACAGATTTTGAATTACCTATTCCATGGCTTGGACAACAATTGTACAAGCATATCAGGTACTTCCCTAATTCACCGATTGTTTGCATTATACAACTCCTAATATTTGTTAACCAAAATATAAA